TGTGTGTGTGTGTATGTGTGTGTGTGGACTCAGCAGTTTGTGTGTGTGTATGGACTCAGCAGTTTGTGTGTGTGTATGGACTCAGCAGTCTCTGTGTGTGTGTGTAGACTCAGCAGTCTGTGTGTGTGTGTGTGTGTGTGTATGGACTCAGCAGTCTGTGTGTGTGTGTGTGTGTGTGTGTGGACTCAGCAGTTTGTGTGTGTGTATGGACTCAGCAGTTTGTGTGTGTGTATGGACTCAGCAGTCTCTGTGTGTGTGTGTGTAGACTCAGCAGTCTGTGTGTGTGTATGGACTCAGCAGTCTCTGTGTGTGTGTATGGACCTGAAGCAGTCTGTGCGGGCGGACTTAGCAGTCTGTGTAGTGTACGACCTCGTTATAGTCTGTGTGTGTGTATGGACTCAGCAGTCTGTGTGTTTGTATGGACTCAGCAGTCTGTGTGTGTTTGTGTATGGACTCAGCAGAGTGTGTGTTTGTGTATGGACTCAGCAGTCTGTGTGTGTGTATGGACTCAGCAGTCTGTGTGTGTGTATGGACTCAGCAGAGTCTGTGTGTGTGTGTATGGACTCAGCAGAGTGTGTGTGTGTGTGTATGAACTCAGCAGAGTCTGTGTGTGTTTGTGTGTGTGTGTGGACTCAGCAGTCTGTGTCTGTGTATGGACTCAGCAGAGTGTGTGTGTTTGTGTGTATGGACTCAGCAGTGTGTGTGTGTGTGTGTGTGTATGGACTCAGCAGTCTGTGTGTGTGTATGGACTCAGCAGAGTCTGTGTATGGACTCAGCAGTCTATGTGTGTGTGTGTATGGACTCAGCAGAGTGCGTGTGTATGGACTCAGCAGCCTGTGTGTGTGTGTGTGTGTGTGTATGGACTCAGCAATCTGTGTGTGTGTATGGACTCAGCAGAGTCTGTGTGTGGGTATGGACTCAGCAGAGTCTGTGTGTGCATATGGACTCAGCAGAGTCTGTGTGTGCGTATGGACTCAGCAGAGTCTGTGTGTGCGTATGGACTCAGCAGAGTCTGTGTGTGCGTATGGACTCAGCAGTGTGTGTGTGTGTATGGACTCAGCAGTGTGTGTGTGTGTATGGACTCAGCAGAGTGTGTGTTTGTGTATGGACTCAGCAGAGTCTGTGTGTGTGTATATGGACTCAGCAGTCTGTGTGTGTATGTGGACTCAGCAGTCTGTGTGTGTGTATGTGGACTCAGCAATCTGTGTGTGTGTGTGTGTGTGTGTGTATGAACTCAGCAATCTGTGTGTGTGTGTGT